CAAAAAAAAAAAAAAATTAGCCAGGCGTGGTAGCACACACCTGTAATTCCAGCTACTTGGAAGGCTGAGGCAGAAGGATTGCCGGAGCCCAGCAGGTCGAGGTTGCGGTGGCCAGGAGCGTGCCACTGCACTCCAGTCTGGGTGACAGAGTGAGACTCCAACTCAAAATAAAAAAGAAGAAAGTGAAAAACTAATCCACAAAATGGTAGTGAATATTTAGATTTTATTCTAAATAGATTAATAATTCTTTAATTCAATAAGAAAAACAATTCAATCAAAACACGGACAAATGTTTGAAAAATATCTTACCAAAGAAAACAAGTGAAAGAAAAGCAATGCACATGAAAAGATGCTTGGCAACATTAGTCATAGGGAAAATGCAAATTAAATCCACTACACACCTACTAAATGGCTATAATGATATGAAGTCATAGCCAAATATTGCTGAAGACATAGGGTAACTGGATCTCTCATAAATTGCAGTTGCAAATGTAAAATGGTACAGCCATTTTGAAAAATAACTTGGCAGGTTTTTAAAAAATTAAAAATACACACATCATACAAACCAGTCTTCTTATTCCCAGTTACACCCCAAAGAAATAAAATACGTGTCCATACAAAGACTTGTAACTGCATGATCATGGGAACATTATTTATAACAGACAAATACTAGAAACATTCTATATATCAACTGATCATTGAATAAACAAAATAAAGTATATAGCCATAAAATGCTATACTACTCAGCAGTTAAAAGGAACAAACTACACAGATATGCAACTATGCAGATGAACTTCAAAAAGAGCTTCCTAAGAAAAAGAAGTTAGAGACAAAAGCCTAAATATTATAAAAAGTCTAAATGTTGAGTGACTTCACTTATATAAAACTCCTGACCGGGTGTGGTGGCTCAAGCCGGTAGTCCCAGCAATTTGGGAGGCTGAGGCGGGGGGATTGCCTGAGGTCATGGGTTCGAGAACAGCCTGGGCAACCTGGCGGGACCTCATCTCTACAACAAATCAAAAAATGAGCAGGGCATGGTACCGCATGCCTGTAGTTCTGGCCACTTGGAAGGCTGAGGTAGAAGGATTGCCAGAGTCCAGCAGGTCGATGCTGGGGTGGTTGTGAGCGTGCCATTGCACTCCTGCCTGGGCAATAGAGTGAGACTCCAACTCAAAAAAAAAAAAAAAGTAAAGTAAAGAAAAAAAAAAACTGGGAAGAAAAGAAAAGAAAAAAAAAACTCCTGGGAAAGACACAATTACTGCATCAAAAATCACATAACTAGTTGCTTGGGGCTAGAAGTGGGAGTAGGAATTAACTGGAAATGGGCATAGAGAACTTTGCTGAAATGATACAAGTGTTTTACAGCTAGATTGTGTTATGTTTGCACAAGTATAAATTTACTAAAATTCATCAAACTGTATATTTATCAATCATATGATATGTAAATTATACTTTAATAAAACTGTTAAGAAAAGGAGAGTGATTTGAGTTATCACATATTCTCACTCATAAGCAGACCTTGAACAATTATCCTAATACTATAAGAAAAGGATTGTCAGTAATGGGAAATTACGGGGAGGCAGGGGTGGGGGAGTGGGGAGAGGGAAAGGCAGTAGTGGGATTCTGCCGGGGGAGGGGGGACACACTTCATCAACAAGGGTACTTACTTAATGAACATCTGTATACTTAACCCTGATTTGTGTCCCATATCTTTAACTTTATTTTATGTTTAAAAATTTATCTATTTATTTATTATAAAGATGTGGGGTACAATTCTGGGCTAGGTGTACAAACATTGATCATGCAGGTATCCTTGTTGGTGAGGTGTGCCCCTCCCTCCCCTAGCAGTCTTCCCCAACCACCAGTTCTACCCCCCCTTCCCCTGACAGTTTTCCGCTACTGTCAATTACTTTCTTATAGCATTTATAATTGTTCAAGGTCACCTTATGAGCGAGAACATATGGAACTCAGTTCTTTGTTTCTGTGATAAATCACTATGATCGACTCCAAATCCATCCAATTTGCTGCAAAGTCCACATGTTTGTCCTTCTTTATGGCTGCATAATATTCTATTGTGTAGATGTACCACATTTTTTAATCCAGTCCAGTTTCAATGGGCAACATGGTTGGTTCCATGTTTTTGCTATTGTGAACAGAGCTACAACAAACATGCGTGTGCAGGTATCTTTTCTGAAGGAACTGGAAATTGACCTTCCATATGACCCAGCAATTCCCCTATTGGGAATATGCCTGGAGGAACTCAAATCATTCTCTATATCTTTAACTTTAAAAATTAAAAAATTAAAAAATTAAAATAAAAGGAGAGTGATAAGTGACTCTCTGATAAGTAAAGATAAAATATGGATAAAAAGAGAAATAAATAACAGAGAATAGTGTCAAAAAGACTTAAACACAAATGAATTATATGTGGCTTATTACATATATATACAATATATATAATTTTAGTTAAGTTCATAGAAGTTAGAACAAACTGGAATACTATTCATTAGGAAAGCATACAGAAACAGAACCATTTAATCCCTGGTTTGTTTCTATCTTTCCTATAAAGGAGAATGACTGTCATTTTCAAAGCATGAAGCTAATATTGATAGGAAATAAGTGAATTACTTAATTGGGATGCACACTATAAGAAAGAGTCTAAATACTTTATTTGAATTTAGTCCTTGTGTACTTCAGAAATTGTATGCTTGCATTCCTACCCTGATTCCTCCTCCCCCCCAAAATTTACAGATGATAATGCTAAACTATTATTAGTAGGCTCTGTGGAAGTAGAAAATATGATAATAGTTATAATTTCACAATTCCCTATGTGTGTGGAGGGTCACCACGAGACATTTAATTTTAAAGGAGAGCACTTCTTGACATCTGTTGGACACAGAGACAAATAGGAGCTTGAGGTAGTTCACTGTTTCAACAATAGATAGCATTACATTTTTTTCAATTGCATCATATCTTTGTAAAACCAGTTGTTATGGCTGGCCATTGCTAGGGAAAAAAGCAACTACCATGTGAAAATCAAGATGGAAAAGAAAAGAAGGCTGAATTCCTTCACTCTCATTCCACCATTTGTGTTTTCTGGCTCCCCTTCTATTATTAGCATCCATTGCCCTGTTGTCTGTGTTTTGACCTCCTTTAAAGGCAGGAATCTTGTCTGATTTTCTTTTTAGTAAATTGCCTCTGCTGATGCAGCACTTCTAACTTTACATAGCATTATTTTGTCAATTTTCTTAAATAAAAACCTAAAACAGTAGCAGCAACAACTAAAAGCAGTTGAAAGAATGTGTTCAATACTAAAAATCACAATTGCAGAGAGATTTTTTAAAAGTTTAATGAATACATCCAGGGAAGAGTAATTATGAATGTAAAGTTCTTTTAAAAAAAAATTATGGCAAATCAGAAACACTTGGAAAAAAATTTTAGCCCAAAGAAAAAAAAATTAATATAAAAGAAAATGTCTACCACTACTAAGAAATTTAATCCAGGTTCCCAATGACCAGACCTTCCAGTTTTGCCTGAGGCATAATTCCTAGACTGTCTCAGATGAAAAAAAACAGAAAACTAGATAGCAAAAAAGTGGAGCAAGGCCAGTATTTTCACAAAAGTAGTGGCAGAAACAACCAGAAATCACTACAATTATGTATGTTGTACATAAGGCTGCATAATTCTGTTCTAAATGATGATCTACAACTCATATCCAAAAGTATCATGCTGAAATTTTGTTATGTACAAATCCTTCAATTATATAGCTAATCAATGAATGACAAATATTACATGGTCACTGAAATCGAGATTTGCATTATTTCTTTATACACAAAGACAGTTATGGTAGTCTTTCCCCTCCAAAAAGCAGAGTTTTACTTATACTAAAATCCAGAGGGACTGATGATTTCGGGACACTAAGGAGACCTACACAGGTACAAAATCTGAATAAGTCTTCTTAATCATTAGCTACACACTGCCTTCCATTACCTCAAAATCTAGTACAGTTGTTGTGGAGCCCAATATTCCATTACTTATCTCCCTCTCTCCCCTCAAATGTAGATAGCAGAGTTCCAGGCATGCTGGTTTGTGATGATCTGTCATGACTTGTGGCATTTCCTATCATTGTGACTCATGACAGTCTCAGGACACCCCAAGGAGAATATGTACAGCACAATATGTTGTAGAGGGCTCCTTACCACATGTTCCCAGCAGGCATTTCTTAGGAATTCTGGAAAAAGGTAAGGATATATGATCTTCAAGTAAATATAAAGAAACTGTTAATATGTTATGAAATTGTAGAACAGCAGGTGACCTTCAAAGGTCAACTCAAGGCACTGTAGAATGGTGTTGAGAAGTCAAAAGATAATAAAATATAATCTTTGGTTTCAAGGAATTAAAAATGCAAATGTGAGAGATGTTTAAACAGCAAATGTAACTTAAAGTAGAAAGAAACATCAAACATAGGAGTAAATAATATACTATGATAAATAATGATAATTATTATAATATAAAAAAGTAGGATAGTACCCAAGAAATTTGGGGGCCAGAAGAACATAAAACTCATAATAAATAACAATAAATCTTTCATTTGTTATAGAAAATTACCTGGAAATGTTTTGGGGTGGAAGGGTGACCAACCATTTCAGTTCAACCAATACTATACTGAATTTAGAACTGATAGTCCTGTATCTGGGAAAAATCCTTTAGTCTGGGGGAAACTAGTACTTCGGTCACCTTACTGGTGATTTCATTACAACAAACCATTGCAAATTTCCCACCACAAACATAATCTCATCATTTCTAATGATTTAATCAAGGAAAAGTAGACAAATTTCATTCAGTGGTTTATTTATTTATTTATTTTTCATTTATCAGCTAAGTTCTTCACATTGTACCTAAGCCTTGCTGATGGGTTCTAAATGAAGAAAGGAAACAATGAGACACTCTTCCCTGTATAATGCTGCTTACACACCCTCACTGGGCGAGAGTTCACTTACTTTTGCTGCAACCCAATAGATTGTTGACATCCAAATGGCTTGCACTGGGAACACAAGCATCACACTTTGAGCCAGTGACAAATTGTTTACAGAAACACTGGCCTGTGACCAAGTGACAGGTTTCATTCAAGGCTCCTGAGAGATGACAATTACAAGGCTGACATCTGAAAACAAGACAAATAAACCATCAAAGAGAATAGTGTTTTGATTAATAATTCATAGTATAAGTTACACCTATAAGTAATATTGTGTAGTAAAATGATCTGTTTCAGCCAACATATTGAAAAGGATGCTTGAGCCAAACAAACAAAGAATCAAACACAAAATAAAACAAAAAATATATTTATCAAAAGATATTACTGCTCATGAAAAACCTGTATATAGCCTTGTCTTTATGAACTAATTAACAGCAGAGAAAGTTAGACTTTTTTTGACATATCATGATATATCTTATGGCTTAGTTTCAATAACAGTTGTTCAATTAATAATACTGCAAATTTTGCTTTCTTACAAAAGTAGTTCTTCTGTCAGCTATCTTTTTCAAAACTATCTTTTCACAAAACTATCTTTTCAAGTATCTACCCAATTGTGAAATTAAAAAAATAGGGGTGAATCATTGCTCTTCCTAAACATCTTGAAATTCTATATTTAGTTCTATAAAGACTAACTTTCACTAAGAAAATTGCTTGAGGAAGACAGGTTCAAATATTGTCAATGCCTTAATATGGGTTATATTTCATTTTCTATTTTATGCACTAAACTCATTTATCCAGAATGGTTGGAGAGTGGAGCATTATTCTGATTTATGAAAAGATGTTAATGACATAAGTATAATGAAATAACTTTACTGCAACTTAAATTTCTTGGACACAAAGTTGCCTGTAAAAATAACAGTACTGGCATTTTGCCATGAATAGAAGCTAGAATGTGTTTCCTAAGAGTGAATTATTATAACATTTAGCCTATGCCAAAGGCACTGATTAGGATGACCAATTTTGGTGTCATGAAGTATTACAGAAACAAAAACAGCACATGTAAGAAGACCGCCCACCCTTAAACAGGTACTCTCCATATGGTACATTTAAAACATTAAATGGGTTCACCTATATGTTCTAATAAAGAAGAAGCTGGATGGATAGAGTTACTTTACCCCACTGCAATTTTTACGGTGTGATCTCTTGGGTAATCATTCAACACCCTTAAAGGGCTGATAAAAGCTAAGGCTGCCAAATAAGCTGCAAATTTGTTTTATGGACTAATATCCCCTTGGGAATAAATAAAGTACAGTTCTTCTTGAAAACCACTGTACTGTACTTTGCCCTTTTTATAATCATGATAAAAGGACATTTTCCCCCTACAAACAACTATATTAGGTCCTTTATTTAAACATAGTGCATTAGAATTCCATTTCAAGTAGATATTTTGTTCAGGTTAAGTATTAGAGTTGGAGAAAATTACGCATTAAAATTAAAAGAGAATTATCAAAGCAACAACATACTTGATTTGCTCTTAATTTCATTATATGTTATTACTTGGCATATATTATTTGTAAGCATAAGGAGTAAACTTCTCCCGATGTATGAACATGAACATATACAGAGAGATACATAATACATACACACACACGTAAATCACTACACCACTTTTGAATAAGTGTCTCTTGAGTGTTCCTGTTTTTATTACCATTCACTCATGAAACAATCACACTTATTTTACATACAGCACATTTAGAATAATAGTTTCCAGTGCATCACATAATACCTTTCCTTGATGTAGTTCTATTTTTCTCCATCCAATAGCTATATGCATTACTCCAAGTCAGTTATGGCAGTATTGTGGGATATTAAGTTCAAAATCCAAATGGAATTTAAAAAATCACTTCTTAAGAAGGCATGCAATGTTTTGAGTAATTAAATGTGCCTGTCCCTGATTTTTTAGTCTCTTATCCCAGCCATTGTTATATTCAACGTATCTGACTTGCTATAATGGCTTCAGTAAGAGAGAGTTTTCCCTTAATGAAGTTCATGGAAGGAGACTTTTTTGAATATTGTAGCTTGTGCTTAACTCAAAGGACACTAGGGATGATTTTGTAATTAAGGATTAAATAAAGTGATTCCTGTAAATTTCTCAGCCACTCAAATACAATCTTAAACATTTTCCAGACTCTTTAGCAAATAAGCTACAAGTTTGATGCCATTTTATGTTATCTCTCCTCAAGAGGACCTACTAAATGAAATATATTTCACGTTTATTAAAACAAAATTATACATAATAAAGGAAAAGACATTTTAAATTTAGAAAGAGAAACACCAAACTAAGATGAATTGTGATATTGATTTTGCCAGGATAAATGGTTTTTGTAATATTAATATAAAGAAACCTTTATTACACTGACTCTCCTGGTACCGCCAGAGCTTCTCCCACAATCTGTTTAAAATCTTCATTTTTCATCCTTATGGGAAAACCTCACTTGCTAAATGGATTTCATAAAGAGTAATCTGTCAAGATTTATATAGATAAACAATTTGTGATGTTTATTGACCAGTTCATTATGGTAAACAAAACAGGAGTAAAGCATCGCTAATCTCTGCCAGCGCTCTGTTATTATGGTTCTGTTTGGGCCCTTCTGTAACTCAGTATTTACTAGAAACAATGAGAAAGAAGTTACTTGGTCTCTGTCTCTTAAATAAAAAATCTCATACATTTTCCTCTCCCAGGAGTTTTTTCCAGTTGTGCAAACAGTAAGAGAAAGAATTATCCTAATTATTACTGTTGCAGAAACATAATTATTAATGAAAGGGACGGGTTTCAATAATGCATGTCATTGACAGAAAGTTCATTATCTGAGAGAGAGCTTCTATAAGAGGTACAGGATATGTCTGAGAATATATTGATCATTTTATTGCCATCTCTCCTTACACACCCCTCTCCTGTCTGGGGCCTCAACTCATGGGTATTATCAAATTGATTTAACTATTGATTGACATAAATAACAGTCATTAAGAATTGGTTATATTCCAGGATTGGAATAAACACCAATGACATTAAGATGAATAATATGCATTTCCCTCTGTCCTCAAGAAGCTCACAATCTAGTGTGAAAGAAAAAAATGGAAAGAGCATTAATAAAGACCTAAGCAGACTCTTTAAGGGCACAGAGCAACGCCCTGGTCTTGTGACAGAAGTAGGGATAGGGAAAGGAGTATTAAGTGGAAGTCTTGGTAGATGCTTGGACTGGATGAGTAGAAACAAGCCAGGATAGTTAGAGAGGGGAGAAAATAAAGAAAAATGAAAAAGCAGGAAAAGTTGTGGAATTCCAAGCAGTTCAGAATTTTTGATAGAAATTCACAGTGGGAAATGGTGATGGTTGAAGCTGGAACGTAAGCAGGGGTAAAATAACACTATATTAGGGTAGTGGTATGGAGCAATCAATGGGAGGGAGCAGGATTTAAGAAATGGTGAGTCACTGAGATACCACCTAACCCCAGTAAGAATGGGCATCATTAATAAAACAAATAATAACAGATGCTGGTCAGGATGTGGATAAAAGGAACACTTCTACACTGCTGATGGGAATATAAACTAGTGCAATCTCTGTGGAAAACAGTGTGGCAATTTCTTTTTTTTTTAATCAATATTTTTTATTATGATTTTGTGGGGTACAGTTAAGGGTTAGGTGTACAATTACGTTTCATTCAGGTACCCTGTTGATAAGAGGTGTTTCCCCATCCCCAGACAGATATTTGCCACTGTTAATCCCATCCCCTTCCCCCCCATAGTTTCCCAGTACCGTCAGTCATTTTCTTATAGTATTACATTGAATGTTCAAGGTCCATTATATGAGTGAGCAATTTCTAAAAGAACTCGACATTGAACTTCCATGTGACCCAGCAATACTCACTCCCCGTCCCCGCCATACTGGGAATATACCTGAAGAAACTCAAATCATTCTACAACAAAAGGTACCTGCACACACATGTTTATTGCAGTGCTGTTCACAATAGCAAAAACATGGAACCAACCATGCCTCCCGTTGAAACTGGACTCAAAAAAAACCAAGTGGTGCATACATTCAACAGAATATTACGTAACCACAAAGGACAAACATATGGATTTGGCAGCAACTTGAATGGATTTAGAGTCTATCAGATTCAGTGATCTGTCACAGAAACAAAGAACAGAGTACCACAAGTTCTCACTCATAAGTGAACCCTGAACATTTACCATAATATTTTAAGAAAGGGATTAGCAGTAGCAGGATATGACCTGGGGTGTGTGTGTATGCAGGGGCGGGGAGGGGGGAGGCACAACCTCAGTAAGTGTATCTGATCTCAAACCAGGCAAAGTGAGGACCAAAGGGAGGCCCAAACTTTGCCTGTATGATGAGCACTTATATACCTAATCTTGAATTGTACCCCACATTTTTAACATTAAAAAAGTGAAACATAAAAATAATGATTCAGTGAGGTAACAGAATCATAGAAATTTTAATTTTCAAAATTTGAAAACGATTAAGTGGAAAACTGCTTGTCTAAAAAAAGAAAAATGGCAAGTAAGTAAAACTGGTAGAGTGAGATGCCAAATTTAAAAGACAAGTGAAGATGGGCATGGAGTTATTACCCGTTTTCTAATTTGCAGACAGGGGGGACAATGGGGACATCATTCAACATAAAAAACAGAGGGAGAGATCTCAACTAGCTGAAGGTTTTAGACAAGGATTATTAATAAATAAAAGAGAAAGAGGCATTGAGGTAAATTGGAGAAATTGAGCAAAGAGTTTTCTTCCATCAGTTCCTAGCACAAAAGCTAGTATTCAGTAAGGGTTTGATAAATATTGTTGAATGCATGAATTAATAGTGAATAAAGCACTAGGAAAGCTTTAGACTTGGGAAAGGACAGCAGGGATAAATCCAAACATGACCTGTAGCTCCAACAGCAATTTAGCTCTGATGACCATTATTTATTGGCATAATTCTGTCCCTCTAGCTAACCTCACCACTAAGGAATGGACAGCGTTCTCTAAGGGTTGGTGTCTGCTCAGTCTCAAGACCAGAATTCTCTTTTAAGTTCTCTTGAACAGGATTCAGTGAGTGCTACAGTGCCCTCTAGGGGAGTTTGGTTTTCCTCTGGTTAAGAGTGTATTTCACCTCTGCAGTGGAGGTGT